AGTTGAGTAGGTTCTAGAGAACCCACCTCAGTGTTCTTGTCCCGTGCAAGTATTTTTTTTCCTGCCGCCTACTGTGTGCCACAGACACACTGTGAGTTGTTACCATTCCCTGCGTCCTTGCTGCGCTGCAAGGACTGCTCAGGTGGTGTTGGCCCTTGGGATTTGTCCCAGGTCTTGTTTAGGACACTTGATGATTTGGACCTGATCTGCCTTCCACCTCTGCAGCCGACTGGGCCCGGCTGGGCCCTGCATGGTGGGTTGCCTCTCAGCCTGGGCAACCAGCCCCAGGTACCAGGATGCTGTGCAGGCCTACTGGGTTTTCCCTGCAGAGGGTAAGGTTATCTCCACAGACTAGCCAGGCCATCTGCCGTGGCCAGTGGACCTGGCGAGGTCCCATGGTGCTTGGCACTTGGGGTGCTGTCTACCTGAGCCCCCCCCCTGCGGGGATGCTAGTAAATGGTGCCACAGGATCAGGGACCCCTTACTCAGCAGGAGCCTCAGAGTCCTCCCCCAGGGCCTGGCCACACCTGAACTTCTTGTGGCCCCCTGGGTCCCCGTGGGACCCGCCGAGCCGCTGCCAGGCCCAGCCGCCCCGCCCCTCGCTCAGAACCCTGGGAGGTCCCAGCCTCGTGTTTTATAACTATTTATTGTTCTTGTTATTTTAACATTTAGCACGAAGCATGTCTCAGCTCCTCCAGCGTCACTGCGGTCAGACCCCCCCCCGGGGGGCGGGGCCACGGCTCCTTCCACTCTCCTTTTTGGCTTTTTGTCCTATTTATTAAAAAATCCCGTTCTCTGTGGGGCTCCCTGTGCCCTAAGGGTCTTTCTGAATAGGGTCGGGGTCCACCCTCATCCCTGAACACCATTCTCTCAGCATCGTTCTCTTTGCCTGGCCGCTAGGAAGGCCCAGCAAAGCAAAGGCTTCACAGGCCCTGCAAGGCACCTGGTTTCCATAGCAACCACTGACCTCTGCTGCCCTCAAAGGCAGCCTCGAACAGTCCAGAAACAAACAAAACTTTATGGATACAAACTGACAGCAGCCAAAACTGAGCCTGGGGGCCAGAGTTCACTCACCCTTCTGCCCCCACCGATGGGGACCTTCTCTACATCTCAGTCCTTCCTCTTGCCCTTCCAACCTATTTCTATTTGTTTGTGTGACTCCCCCCCAAAAAAGTGGAGATGGACCTATGGGACCCCACAGGTCAAAACTGCCGTGTTGTCTAGTATAAATAAACTTTTATTGGTACACGAACACCAAGGAGCAACCCCCAGTTATCTCTATCCTGGCTCAAGGGAAATGTGAACTCAGGGGGAGAAAGAGACCTCTGGGGAATGTCTGGGGTGTTTTGTGGCATGTGGGGGCACACAGGGTTTCCTCGGCCTCGGGGTTGGCGGAAGGAGCGTCCCATCTGAGGGGCCATCCATGGCTGGCTTCTGCTTGTTGCTTGGGGTCCTGCATTTACACAAATGCTCTGGTGTGGCATGTCTGGAGAGACGCCCAGGAACAGCAGCGCTGCTGATGTGTTCTTATAAAGGAGCTGGCTGTGCACAGAGACTTCACTATGTGAACCTTTTGTCCCTACACCCCAAGTGCCATGAGTCGTGATGGATGGACATGGGTGTGTGGCTCTCAGAGTCAAGATGAAAGCCCCTGCAAGCTGGGGAAAGAGCAGGAAAGTTCTCAGGTGCACGAGGAGAGGCCGGTGTGGACACGTTTGAGGTGGAGGAAGAAAAGACCCTTCCTGTGTTTCTGCCTCAGCATGAAGGCTCAGCAGATGTTTTCTGTGCTGGTCTCACACTTTGGGTGCCAGAGACCTCTCTATCTCTTGATGGTGCAGGGAAAGCAGCCAAGGGCCACACAGGAGGGGGCGTGGCCCCGGGTGGGCATGGCCTCGGGTAGGCGGGGCTGTGGGTGGAAGACTCACTCTAGGTTTGTTTCTTTTCTTTTCTTTTTCTTTTTTTTTTTGTGCCAGTCCTGGGGCTTGAACTCGGAGCTTGGTCACTGTCCCTGAGTTTCTTTTGCTCAAGGCTAGCACTCTACCACTGAGCCACATGTTTGTGGGTTGGAGGAGGCCCTAATCATACCTCTGTTCTTGGGTCATTGTCACTGAGTGGTAAGATGCTGCCTCCCTTGGACTTCTCCCTCGGGGGGCAGGAGTTGTAGGGCTACCTCTATCACTGAGCTGCACCCAGCTTTCTATTCTCTCCTATGTTACTCATTTTCTAAAACACTTACTCATGGCTGGGTGCGGTGATTTGCACCTGTAATCCCAGCTACTTGAGAAGATTGTGGTTTGAGGCCAGCCTAGGCACAAAAGCTTCCTCTCCACCAACAGGCCTGTCCTGGTGGTATAGACCTGTAATTCCAGCTGCGTAGAAGGCGTAGGCGGGAGGATGGGGGTCTAGGCCAGCTGGGCAAACACAATACCCCCGTGGCTCAAGAGTAGAGTTCCTGCCTAGCAAGGGTAAGGCCCTGAGTTCAAACTCTAGTATCACTAAACCAACCCAAACCCCAAGACTTGTTCATGCAGCCATCCTCTAGTAAAAACACCTACTGTGTGTCTGGCAGGACTCACGCCTGGCCTTCAAAAGCTCTGAAGAGCAATAAGACCTGCTCTCAACCCCAACCCAGCTCATCCTACATTAAGATGACATTGAAGCAAAGCCACGCTGGCTGGCAGCGGCAGCAGTGCGCATGTGCTGCAGCCTGTGCAGGAGCCGTCACAGGCTGAGTTTTTCTCTCACAAAGTGGGACCCTCCCTGCCTTTGGCCAGGCAGCCTACCACTTCCCATGTGACACTTCCCACGCAGACACCGGCGAGGCTCGAACAGATCTTACTTCTGTATCGCTTGCTGTTACACTGCATAGGACACAGAGAATGAGTCTCTCCTGATGTGGTTTGGGTGGCCAGGACAGGGACCGGCCAGCTCTGTGGAGCCAGATGTGTGGATTTAGGACTCTGTGGGTCACACGGTGTGTCACAACTCCTTGGCTGTGTCCTTGGTATGAGAGAGCTGCGGACAGTGTTAAATGATGCTGTATCCAGTAATCCTTCATTCACAGCACCAAGCGGTGGGCCATACAGCACCATCCCTCACCTTTCTGTCTCCATGTGTTTAGTTTTGTGAGGTTTTTTTGTTTTTATTTATCTTTCTGATCAGAGGGTAGAAGGCAGGAGACACGTTGGGTCTTTTTGTTTTGTGCTGGTCTGGGCCTGGACTCAAGGCCTGGGCACTGTCCCCGAACTTTTGTGCTCAAGGCTAATGCCCTACCACTTGTGCCATAGCTCCACTTCTGGCTTTTTGCTGGTTGACTGGGGATAAGAATCGCATGGACTTAGCCTCCAGTGTCTGGCCCCAACCCCAGAACTCTTTTTTTTTTTTTTTGTCGGTTGTGGGGCTTGAACTCTGGGCCTGGGTGCTGCCCCTCAGCTCTTCAGCTTAAGGCTAGCGCTCTACCACTTGAGCCACAGCGCCACTTCTGGTTTTCTGAGTGGTTTATTGGAGATAAGAGTCTCCGGACTTTCCTGTCCAGACTGGCTTTAAACTGTGATCCTTAGATCTCAGCTTCCTGAGTAGCTAGGATTACAGGCGTGAGACACTGGAGCCCTGCTCCCAGAGATCTTGATGGTCCCCACTGTTGGGAGAAGAATTGAAGCTTTGGGAGGTCATGTGACCTGCCCAGGTTTCTGTGGTAGGACTCCAGGGGTGGGCAAACCCCACCTGCACCAACATTGTCTCCCCCTGTCCCCCCCCCCCATGATCTCCTGGGCCTGGGCTCTCCGTCTCTGAGCTCTCACTTCTTTTCCTGGCCAGGCCTCTCAGTATCCCCATAAGGGGCAGAGCAGGAGGGCAAGCTAGGCATTGGTGGCTCATGTCTCTAATCCCTCCCAGCTACTCAGGAGGCTGAGATCTGAGGATCAAAGTTGAAAGCCAGTTCAGGCAGAAAAGTTTGTGAGATTCTTATCTCCAGTGAACCACCAAAAAGCCAGAAGTGAAGTTGTGGCTCAAGTGGTAGAGGACCAGCCTAGAGCAGTAAAACTTAAGGGATAGGGTGAGACCCTGAATTCAAGCCTCAGTACAGAGAGAGAGAGAGTGAGCGAGAGAGGGAGAGAGATAGTGCCGTGTAGCATGTAAGTTACTATGCCAAGCCCATACAAGAACACCAGGTCCCTGAGCTCTCATGGGTTTCTTAAGATCTTGCAGGAGAGGACACAGTAGATCTATTTCAGGCCTTAGACTTACTGCTCTGGAGGACAGAAAAGCAGGGGCCTGCTAGAGCTAGGGTCTTTCCCACTCCACGGTCCTCCTGGCACTGGTGTTTTCTGGAGGTTCTGAGTTGTTTGAATGTACAGAAAAGCCCTGAGCAGGGTCTGGTGAAGTAAGCTGATGTTTGGTGGGTGGGCAGGTGGCCTCCCTGGGATGGACAAGCAAGCTCCGTGTTCTGGGCTGAGTTGAATGTGCAAATGTCCGGTGGCTGGAGGTCATAGGATGAAGGGCCCAGTGTGAGTAGAACACAGGCTGCAGGTCCCGGGTCTGAGTTCACCCTCAAGTGTTGGGTGAGGCTGGGATGTGAACCCACGGTGAACAGGCCGTGAAGTCAGCTGGGTGGGCTGCCGCCAGCCTGTAGGGGAGGCCTTAGAATAGAAAACAACAGCGGTGTCCCACCTGTGGTTAGGGTGGGTTTTGAAACTTTAAGTTTGATAAAGGCGTTCACTGTGCTACATCTTTTTTTTTTTTTAATTTCTTACTGTGAGTCAAAGAAATTGAAAGGCACTGTTTTGAATCCTAGTGAACGTTTGGAATTTAGCCCACGAGGCGATGGGGAGCCATTAAAGAGGCCGGGTCAGGTTTATGTGGAAAAACCTCCCTGCAGGAGCTTGGGAACAGAGCTTGGGGAGGCTGGCCTGGGGAGGCCCGGGGAGGCCCAGGAGGCCCAGGAGGCCAGGGCCCCGGGGGGAGGCCGTGCAGTCAGGTACCCGCCTCATGGGTGACCCTGCATGCAGAGGCTGCGGGTCACCGTGGAATTGAAAAGCATTCCTGCAGGAGGTGGAGAGCTGAAAGATGGTGAGGTCAGAGTTTGAACTCAGGGCCTGGGCGTTGTCCTTGAGCTTTTTCCCTCAAGGCTAGCATCCACCACTTGAGCCACAGCTCCCCTTCTGGCTTTTTGGTGGTTAACTGTAGATAAAGAGTCGCACAGGCTTTCCTGCCCAGGCTGGCTTTGAACTGTGATCCTCAGATCTCAGCCTCCCGAGAAGCTAGGATGACAGGTATGAGCCACTGAGACTCTTCCTTCAACACTTCCTCCTTACCACCTTTTCTTCTAAGCCCTTTCAAGCATGATACCCCCACAACAAACCTATTGGAGGTTCTGCTTGTGTTCCTCTTCCACAGAGGAGGAACTTGGGGCTTGACTGCCCAGGGTCTCAGTGGTATCTGTGGCGGTCACTTAGGAGCTGGGTTTGGGGATAATCTTTGGGGAGGGGGGTCACAATTGGCTGAGGGACAAAATGGCACCTGGAACTGAGCAGTAGCCATAGAGAAGTGGGGTCATCCAGGAAGCTGTGGTTCTCTGTGATTCAGCAGAGCCGTGTTCAAACCTGCAGATGGGGGCACAGTGCAGCGGTAGGTGCAGGATTCGAATCTGACTCCCAGCTTGTCCTAGGGAAGCTGCTCTGGTGGTCAGAGCCGTGGCAGGCCTTTTCTAAGCGGGAGACGCCGATCCAACGCACCAGGTCAGCTGTGAGTCACACCCTACAGCCTGCTGGCTCCCAAGCTCCCACTCTAGCCCAACTGCAAACCTTCACCCTCTTCCCACCTCTGACCCTGTCCGAGTGGGCCGAGTTAACCCAGCCCTGGGAGCTGTAAGTGATTGGCCCTCTGATGGAGACGCAGCTAGGCAGAGATGGGAGGCAAAGCCCTGGGGACCCTGGAGCTGACCTGTGCAAGGGACAGGCAGCCCTCCCCTTGCGGTCAGGGGACAGTGACCCAGCAAATGCCAGAACAGCTGAGACTCGCTCTAGAGGGCTATAAAGAGCCGGCCTCCTTCTCCCTCTCTTCCCCTCCTCCTCCCCTTCCTCCTCCTTCTCCTCTTATTCCTCCCCCTCCTTCTCCTCTTCTTTCTCGAGCTCCCCTTCCCCCTCCCCCTCGCCCAGGAGGCAGGTGGACTGACCTCATGTGGCGTAAGGCGGCCCTCCGTCTGGGAGCCCTACATGGGGACGTACGCCAGCCACCAGTAGCCAAGAGGCACCCCCACACCTTCCCCTCACCGCCCCTCACTTCCAGATGAACCTTTCCACTGCGCCCACTTTTCCTGCCTCCTCATTCTTTTTTTTTTTTTTTGGTGGTCATGGGGCTTGAACTCTGGGCCTGGGCGCTGTCCATGAGCTCTTCAGCTCAAGGAGAGCTCTCTACCACTTGAGCCACAGCGCCACTTCCAGTTTTCTGATGGTTCACTGGAGATAAGAGCCTCCTGGACTTTCCTACCCAGGCTGGCTTTGAACCTCGATGCTCAGATCTCAACCTCCTGAGTAGCTAGGATTACAGGCGTGAGCCACTGGCACCCGGCTGCCTCCTCATTGTGTGAGACTAAGGACCCAGGACCATGGGTGTGTCAAGCCTCTGACAGTGTTGGGGAGCTGCTCCCCAGGGCCATGCAGGGCCACACCTTGCCCCACCTCCTGCCCCCTCCAGCCCCAGCAGGCCCACACCCCTGCCCCTCCCCAGAGCCCCCATCTGACCCTCCCATCACCCCCCCCACTCCATCTTCTCTCCTTGCTGGAGGACTGTTTTCCTTGGCTGGGGTGCAGGCAGGTGACCCCCTCCCCTGGCTAGTTCAGGCCCAGGCTTGCCGGCCTCCTGACCTCACCGGCTCACACAGCCTTGCCCGCCTTGGTTCCCATCCAAGAACCAGTGGGTCTTTCTAGAAGGTGTTTGTCTAGTCAAGGCTGACAAACTTCCCAAGCCACCGTCTGTTGACTTTTGTGGGAAGTTCTGGCTGCCTGGCGGCCTGGTGTTTCCCGGAGCTTCCTCCTCTCTCTGGGGCTGGGGTGGAGGCAGCTAGGAGGGTAGGGCGCCTGGCTCTGCTTGCACTCTGGGCCTGAAAACTGTCAGCAGCCATGTTGGCAAAGATGGGGGGGGCGGTGAAAGTTGGTGCTTTGAAACACAGTGGCAGCATGTGAAAGGGCTCTTCACCACCAGGACCTACATGAGCCAAGCAGCCGTAAAGCCTTTGTGCTTGCCAGGCAAGTGCTCTACCACTTCAGCCACACTCTGGGCCATGTTGCGTTGATTATTTTGCAGATAGGGACTTGCTTTTGCCCAAGTCGGGCCTCAGACCACAATTCTCTTACTTCTACCCCGCATGAAGTTGGGATTACAGGCATCAGGCATTCCACCCAGTTTATTTGTTGAGATGGGGCTGGGGGTGGGGGGGTGTCCCAATTCTCTTGTCCTAGCCTCCTGCATAGCTGAGATTACAGATCTGCTCTCCTGCCATCTTTAACTTGCATTTTGTTCACTTCATTCATGCACTCAATCATTCGTTCCCTCAACAAAGATTAATTTAGTGCCTCTGTTGTGCTGGGCAGTCCCAGGGGTTGAGCAGGACTAGTATGTGATAACCTTCACCTCACAAAGTTAGTGGAGTCTCAGGCAGTGCCCAGTGAAGATGAATGTGCATTAGAAATGTGAGCCACACTGAGTGCTGGTGGTTCACGCCTGTAATCCTAGCTACTCAGGAGGCTGAGATCTGAGGATCATGGTTCAAAGCCAACAGGAAAGTCCGTGAGACTCTTGTCTGCAATAAACCACTAGAAAACTGGAAGTGGTACGGCTCAAGAGGTAGAGCACTTGAGCTGAAGAGCTGAGGGACAGTGCCCAGGCCCAGAGTTCGAGCCCCATGACCAACGAAAGAAAGAAAGAAAGAGAAAGAAAGAAATGTGAGCCATCCGTGTGACCTTCAGTATTCCAGCAGCTACACAAAAAACTGAAAAAGAAACATGGCTGTTAACACAAAAGATCAAACTATTACCAACTCAACATATACTCATCATTTTAAGCTTACCAATGCCTTATTTTGTTGTTGTTGTTTATGCTAAATCTTTGAAACTGATGTGTGTTTGGATCAGGCACAGTTCAAGCTGCGTGTGACCAGAGGACCAGATAATAGCAGTGGTAGATCAGGGAAGGCTTCCTGGAGGCAGTGACACAGTGATACACAGGTGTCTAAAGTGAGGACAGAAGGGACAGTTATGAGCGATGCCAAGGAGACAAGGAGTTTGCTGCTTTTAATGGACAATGGGGGGGGTGCTGAGGCCACCGGAGGGCTGACTGGTAAGGAACAGGATGGATCTGGGGGTCACACAGAGCCAGCAACTCCCTGCCAATCAAGGAGTCACTATAGCTGCACTTGGACAGCCAGCCAGTGCTGGCAGTCACCAGTCCCTGGGGGGGCAGCCTACTTGGCTGGTTGTGCCCAACCCCTCCAGGTCTCGAGCTGACCCGCTGGAGCTCAGCCAGCAGCCACTGCTGGCTGGCCAGGTTTACAGCAAGGTAAGGATGAAGGGGGTGTGGACTAAGCCCTTGTCTGTGATTGGCTCGGCCATGGCTAGGTCTGACCAATGAGGCGAAGGATGTCAGATGCTGGAGGATACTGGAGCAGGAGCTCCCCTGAGATCTAGCCAGTCATGTGGGGAGCCCTAAATGGTAGGGGAGGGGGGTTGTTCACCCTGTGGGTCCCTAGTGCCCTCTTGTGGAATTGAGAACAGGATTACTTACTTCTTAATCATTCAGTGATCCAAAACCTTCCAGGTGTACAGGAGTGATTTGGTGATGCACAGTGAAACCCACCAGGACATAAGCTCCTGGCTCCTATCTGCCCTCCCTACTGGGTCCTGGGAACTGATCAGAGCTAGCACATAGTAGGTGCTCTGCCATGTTTGTTGAGTGAATATGTGACCTTGCCATTCTCTGTACATTTTTTTTCCTTAGCTTTCTTGTTTCTCCTGCTTTTCCTGGACTTCCTGCTTCTGGTGTGACTTTTTATTTGCATTTTGTTGTTGTTGTTAGGTTGTTTGGGCTGTTTTGTTTTTTTTAAATACCCTGAAATTTCAGGCCTTGGCACTTCTTCAGCCTGCTTTTAATAGTTTGAAACTAAAATGACTAAGCTCTCTTGAGGCCTACGAAATATTTTTGTAACTGCCTTGGCCTCGTCCAGCCCCACCACACACCCCACACACTCTTTTGGGGTTTATTTATGTTTTCCCAGCAGATTCTGCCTGCACTTTACATATGGACAGGAGACGCAGTGGGGGCTGTTTGGTTTGGGCTTGATCTGACACTGGGAAGTGCGTCTACACTTGCTCCAAGGGCATTATAACACCATTTAGAATGAAACGTGGGGCGGGCAGGGGTGCAGAGGCCACGTGACATAACCCCAAGGTTCTCAGCATTCCCCTCAGAGTGTGATACTTGCTGCGTCTCTTAAGTCCATTTGAGCAGGGGGCATCCCATTCCCCCGTCCAGTCCTCCAAAGCAGTGATGTTAAATCCCAGGTTGATTAAAGAAGAGTCTCTGGTTGGCATGCTGAATTTGCAGACAGGAACTGCAATTTTCAGATTTTCATAGTAAGTATATTTGAAGCACAGCAACAAAACATTTACTAAAAGGCAGGGTGGGTTGGAACTGGTCAGATTCTTGGTTTCTTTGTTTGCATTTTTCTTCCTGCCTCTGCAGAAGAAACTGGCCTTTCCTACCTGCAAAAGTACGCATGCGGACAGCGGCAGCATGCTGCCAGGGTGGCCAGGGTGGACATGGCCCCACGGGACATTTGATAGACTTTTGTTTTTTGTCACTTGTGGGGCTTGAACTCTGGGCCTGGATGCTATCCCTCAGCTCTTTAGCTCAAGGCTAGTGTTCTACCACTTGGAGTCACAGCACCACTTCTGGTTTCCTGGTGGTTAATTGGTGATAAGCGTCTCACAGATTTTCCTGCCCGGCTGGCTTTGAACCATGATCCTCAGATCTCAGCCTCCTGAGTAGCTAGGATGACAGGCCTGGCTTGACAGACATATTTTGATGGTTATCATAGGGGAGAGGGGACCTTTGGTCACCTAAGAATAAGGCAGGGGTTGCCAGCCTCCAAGCCACGCCATCAAGAATGACAAGGCCAGGTTGAAAGCTGGCGGCTCATGCCTGAAATCCTGTTTGTGTCAGCACTAGGGCTTGAACCAGGGCCTGGACACTGTCCCTGAGCTTTGCTACTAAGGACACTCCTCTGCCACTTGAGCCACAGCTCCACTTCCAGCTTTCTGGTGGTTAATTGGAGATAAGAGTCTCATGGACTGGGGGCTGGGAAGGTGGCTCAGTGGTAGAGTGCTTGCCTCGCATACGAGAGGCCCTGGGTTCAATTCCTCAGCACCACATAAGCAGAAAAAGCTGGAAGTGGCACTGTGGCTGAAGTGGTAGAGCGCTAGCCTTGAGCTGAAGAGCTGAGGGGACAACGACTAAGCCCAGAGTTCAAGCCTCATGACTGACAGAAAGAAACAACAATCAAGAAAGAGTCTCATGGACTTTTCTGCCTGGGCTGGCTTCAAACCTGGATCCTCAGATCTCAGCCTCCTGAATAGCCAGGACTACAGGTGTGAGTCACCAGCGTCTGGCTCCACAGAATACTTTTAAATGGTAATAAAATATATTGAATAAGAGCCAGATACAGTTGTACACACCTGTCATAATCCCAGCACTCAGGAGGCGAAATGGGAGAATTGTGAATTCAAGATCAGTCTGGGCAACATAGTGAGATCTTATCTAAAAACTACAACAACAAATAAACCAAAACAAACAAGCAGCTTTCCAAGTTTAAGTACTAGTCTCAATGTGTTTAAAATACTTTAGCAAAGAGAAAAATAACCCAAAAAGCTTGGAAGAGGCCCATGCAGTGTAGACTCCTGAAATTCGTCCAGCCTGCGTGACAGACACTCAGTCTACATGAATAAACCTTCTAGTTCTTACCTCAAAACCATTCTAACAAAAGTGAGAAAGAAGGAAATGAAACCATACAACGTGGCATACGGTCGGTTCAACCTGAAATAGGACTAAACATTGAAACACTCATGGCACCCCCAGGCCCTGCTGGGGTTCGGAGTGATGTAATCAGAGGAGGCCAGTCACAGGAGAGATTAATTTTAAGACATCTGCTGCTCTCTGTGGCAGATGGCGGCATTGAACGTTAGAGGCACCAAGCTTCGGAGTGGAGTCAGATGGTGGTTTTTAACTCCTACCCTGAGGCTCACGGTGGCCCCAAAGCCTGCCACTCCCTGCCTCTGCTTTCTTCTCTCTAAATCAGGGCAGAAATTCTCCCAGCCTCCCCAGAGCTGGGGCTGAGGACAGCTGTGCCTGGCTAAAGGCCCTGTGGTTCCTGTGGCTCTTGTGGCAGTATGGGCTTCCTGGAGTACAGGTGAGGATTTGGGCACAAGGAAGTTCTTCTGATATTTCCTTTCTCTCTCACCCATCCTCTTCCTGATGATGAAAATTCGTGGTGCCTTAGCCTCAGAGCAAGGCTATGGGTCCTGGGTCATCACAACGGCTGTCTTTGAGGTCCACGGCAGGGACGGGAAGGGTGGCACTGCCTCCTGGAGTTCAGTGTGCCTCATAGGCACTGTGGGCAGTCCTGGGCTGCTCTCCAGCCTCTGATCATGAGATGTCCCCAGGTGTCCTGGGCCAGTGTGGCATCCCTTCACAAGAAAAGGAGAGAGAGAGTGTGTGTGTATGTTTAATGGCTCTGCATGAGAAATATCCTATAAAGTTCTACATTTTGCTTCAAGGCCCACCAACCCCTCCTCCCCTGTCACCTGGCAAGCCTGTGTGGCCCTGTGCCAGCCTGATGCCACACACTAGGCCCGGCTTGAAGGGGTCCCCGGAAGCCTAGAGAATGCTGGCACATGCATCAGAATATACAGCCTCTAAAACTGCATGGAGATTTTTCTTAAGCCAGTCATAAGCCAAGCATAGGGATGCATGACTGGAATTCCAGCCATACAAGAGGCCCTAGGTAAAAGCAGATCAAGACTAAAATGTTATGGGGCAGTGGGGGTAGGGAGGAGAAACATGTGACCCTGCATGAAAAATAAATAAAGCAAAAAAGTACTTGGTATGGCTCAAATGGTAGCAACTGTCAGGCCCTGAGCTCAAATGCAGGGAGGGATAGAAGAAGGGAGGGAGGGATAATAAGGTAAGAGGTCTCATATTGTCACCCCACACTGGGTGCTGGCTTGAAGGTGGTCCCTGGCAGGGAGGGGGTACCTTGCTATTCTTGATGTTCCAGCTGGGGAGACCAAGGCAAGCTCGTGGAAAGCAGGGCAGCTTTGAGAGCAGGCTGTGTGTTCTTCAGAGAGTTTTGGATCCTGACTTTCAGATCAAAATGGAAATAGACTAAAGAAATGAGAGGAGTCCCTCCCCTCCCAGAGGCAACATGCAAATGGCTTCTACAGTTTTTACACTGGGAACCCCAGCTCTCTCACTTTGGGGGATCTGCTTTCTGAACACTGCGGGCAAATGCACCAGGAAGCCTGTCCAGTCACTGTGGAATTTGTCACGAGAATACAGATGCAGGAGACCTGAGGCGGTGCATCTAAGGTGTTATGCAGCAGTGTAAAAGGGACCAGCAGGACATTTCATCACTAGAATAGAGGTCCTAGAATGAGAGGTGCTGAGCGATCGCACAGATAAAAGCTGGGGGAGATGGCAGCGGCCACCATCCATGTACTCTCCTGGCTGTGTGCTGGTGCTCTCAGGCTAGCAGGGTCTAAGGCTCAATGCTGATCACATCCCTGGGTAGGTGATGTGGACCAGGACGGCGTCCCAAAAGATGAGGATGGCAGCAACCACACAGCGCCTGGCGTGGGCTCCGAGTGAGTTTATTCCTCCATTGCTCATACCACAAATACTTATTAAGCCACTGTTGCTGGAGGCATGGCTCAGGCTCCAGCCTAGCTAGCAAGGGTGACTTCGAATCTCGGTACTGCCAAAATAAAGGCAAAAACCTTGGGCAGGGAGGAAGCTACTCTGAAGGGACTTCCAGAAGATTTGGGGAATCTCATTCAAGGCTTTAAAAATAGACCAAATGCTGCCATTGATGAATTTTATTTCATTTATTTTGCTGGTCATTGGGCTTGAACTCAGGGCCTGGTTGTTGTCCCTGAGCCTTTTCACTCATGGATAGTACTCTACCACTTTGAGTCACAGCGCCACTTCTGATTTTCTGGTAGTTAACTGGAGAGAAGGGTCTCACGGACTTTCCTGCCCAAGCTGGCTTCAAATCATGATTTTCAGATCTCAGCCTCCTGAGTAGGATTGCAGGTATGAGCCATGGATACCCAGATTATTTTATTTTTGGTGCCAGTACCGAGGCATGAACTCAGAGCCTGAGCACTTGCCCTCAGCTTTTTAGATCACAGTAGATGCTCTACCACTTGAGCCCCCATCCCTCTTCCAGAATTTATTTTAACTGGTTAACTGGAGACAAAAATCTCACAATCTTCTGCCCAGGCTAGCTTTCAGTTGTGATCTTCAGATCTCAGCTTCCTGAGTAGCAAGGATTATAGGTGTGAGCCACTGGTGCACCACTGAGGAATTTGAAGTCTGATAGGGAAGACAGGTGTTCTGACAGAAAGAACAGCATGTGCAAAGGCTCCGAGGCAGGAGGGACACAGAGTTGAGAAGAAGGCCAGGCACAGAGATGGCAGCGCTAAGCCAGCTCAGAAGTCTTCCCTTCTGCGTAAGAGCCACGGGAGGCCATCTGAGGCCCCACAAAGGGCTGAAGTGGGGATACAGACTTGATTGTCAGCCATAATGCAAAAGACCCAACTGGAGGGAGGGGAGAGTGGCCCCCAGAAGCCCTGTATGGAGGCCTTGGTTAGCCCTCCAGGGAAGAGGGCCGGGGTCATGGCTATGGTGGTGAAGTTGCCATGTTGACTGGATGTGTGAATTGGGAAGGGGGGGGAGCAGGTGGTCATGCTGACCCTCCCTGGAGTCAGCCACCCAAGGATGTATTTTGCCCTGAACTCAATTGGGGGCGACAGGGGTGGCCGGAAGCCGTCAGATCTGGCCTCACCTGCTGTCTATCCAGAGGCCCACCGTGACTGCCAACAGGCTTTGATTTCCTAACCCTGGAGAATGCTGGGAGTCAGCTCTCTCCTCCCAGCCTACTGACCATCTGTCCTCCTTGTCCAGCAGACAGGGCCCTCATGCTCAGCCAAGGTAGCCTGGTGCTTGGGAGAGGGGGGTAAGGGGAGGTAGGGGGCCACCCACCTGGGACCCTCCATCTGTTTCTGATCTCTCCCTGCCTTTGAAGTGCTCCGCCCCCACCCCCAGCTGTTAGCCCAGGCCAGGGGCTCCCCCAAAGCTTCTCCCATCCCAGGGGACCAGGGTGGTGACAAGGAGAAATAATGGAGTGGCAGGCCCGGCAGGAGGCCTGAGGGTGGGGTTTGGAAAGCCATCCTCAGAGCAGGGAGGTAGCAGTGGTTTACAGCAGTGAAAACATGGGGGGGGGAGTGGGGGAGAAGCTTTTATAAATGAGCCCCATGTGTCTTTGTCCTTGACAAAATGGGGGCAGGAGATGGGGCTTGGGGAATCTCCCCTGAATGGAGAGGAAGCTGGTCTCCTGTTTTAGCCACCATGGGTATGTGTGATTGGGGGTGCGTGTGCCCCCTAAACTCTGTCCCTCAAACCACCATGGGCACAGTAAGAGGAGGGCTGTGGTGCATCTGCGCCCCTTCTCCCCTCCCCCACCCATCCCCACCATGGCCAATGGCCAGAATCTGGGGGTCAGCCTCCGTGGAGGCCCTGGACTAGCACTGCATGGAAGAGGCCCATGGAGATGCCGGGACATGGGTGCAGACAGTACCTGAGCATCTTTCCTTCACCACAGCCAGCCGCTGCCGTCCCCCCCCCCCCCCGAGCCCTAACGCTCCCGGTCCAGCAGTGCCACCTGCCCTGCCTCCAGAGTCCCCAGTTCACCGACGTGTCAATGATGTTTAAAAGAGACTCAAATACCACTTTTTTTTTTTTTTGTCAGTCCTGGGGCTTGAACTCTGGGCCTGGGCACTGTCCCTGTTCTTTAGCTCAAGGCAAGTGCTCTCCCACTTGAGCCACAGCGCTACTTCCGGTCTTTTAGTGGTTTATCGGAGATAAGAGTCTCATGGACTTTCCTGCCGGGCTGGCTTTGAACTGTGATCCTCAGATCTCAGCCTCCTGAGTAGCGAGGATGACAGGCGTGAGCCACCAGCACCCGGCTCAGATACCACTTTTCTAATGACAAAATCCAGAATGGAGAAGGGGGACGTTTGAATCAAGTGGGGCACTGTCATGGGGAGGACTTAATTCCTCAGGTCCCTTGGTAAAGGTTTATTAGGTAGCCTCTCTGGGAAGGCAGGGTTTCGGTGATCAGTTTGAGAACTAAGGATCATTTGTGAGCATGCGTGATAATGAACCAACTCCCTGTCCCTTGTCTCCTGCCAGGTACAGGGCAATGTTAGACGAGACCGTCTCACCCAGCCTCACTGCCCACAGCGACCGCAGGGAACTGCAGACACTGAGCTGGCACGGCGCTGTGCCAGGCTCTTTGAGTGACCTCTCAGGTAGGGCCCCTGGCTGCCACTTTGCTGAACTGGTGGTATGTGTCCTGCCCCAAGTATGCTGAGGGCACCCCAGCCTTCCTAAAGTTGTGTACCAAGACCGGGCCTTCTCTTGCCTTTATTTTCTTTCTACTGGTCCGGGGGCTTGAACTCTGGGTCTGGATGCTATCTCTGAGCTCCTTTTGCTGAAGGCTAACACTCTCCCACTTAACCACAGAGCCACTTCTGGCTTTTTCTGTGATTAATTGGAGATGAGAGTCTCACAGATATTTCTGCTGAGGCTGGCTTTGAACCAAAACCCTCAGATCTCAGCCTCCTGAGTTGCTAGGATTACAGGCTACCCTCACCTGGTTCTCTTGCCTTTGGATTGATGGCAATATATTGGGCGTGCACAGCTCTCCCACCTGTCCCTTCTCACAGACAAGTGTGCTCCGAATTTGTGCCCTGAGTTCCCTCCAGTTGGGGGACATTCGAACAGGGTCACAGAACACAGTCACTTCAGGGTGATAGGAAGTCAAGTCTGGCTGAAGTAGAGGAAGGAGGGGAGAGTTCTAGGGTTTTAAAATGATTGGCAAGTGGTGCAGCCAGGTCCTGTCCCACCACAACAATCCTCGCCATTGTTTTGCTGCCTTCCTTGTGGAGCTGGAGTCAGTAAAGGCACCAAGCTGTTCCCCTTTAGGCAGCCCTTTAACTCTTTCCCTGGGAGTTTGCTGCTGGAGGCTCAGGCCTCCCTCTTTTTCTATGTTTCCTAGCAGTTGAGGCGCCGATGCTGGGCGGCTGTCACAGAAAACCAAGTGGCCTGCCTCCAGTGTAAAGCCAGCTCCCACTGTCCCCAGACAGTGGCATCGCCTGGCATCTGGGTTACGGAGTGGCCTCATGGAGGGGTCTGGGCCCTTCCAGTTGGCCCACGGGGTCTAGACCCTGGTCTGTCTGTTCTGGCCTTTCACACCTGAGTTTGTTCCTTTGATGCGGGATGCCCTCGAGGGTGAGGCGGGGCGTGCAGGGCCCCAGGACCCAGTTCTCCACCTCCCGCTCCCCTTGACTCCACCCCCTGAAGCTGGGTGGTGCATGCCTGTAATCCTAGCTACAGAGGGCTGTCTGCGCTAGCCTTGGTGAAGTGTAAGGCCCCAGCTGGATAAATAACAACGAACTAAAAGCCAAAGGCCTGAGAGTGTGTGAAATGGCAGAGCACTACCTCGCAAGGCAAAGGCCCGGGTTTCAACCCCCAGTGCTGAAATTAGAAAGAAAAATCAAAACAAAACCCAAATCTGGAAAATGTCCCAAATCCAAAACACATGTGGTCCTAAGCACGTCAGGTACGTGACACTCAGACTGTGTGACCTTCTTGGCCTCCTCGTGGGTCACTAGAGACACAGTTGCCTCCTGAGGACCAGGCTACCTCAGCAGAGACACTGAGGCCCACAGCTACCATGGTCCCTAACGACCCCTGGGTCCAGCCCACTTCCTGGTCCAGTGTCTTCTGGGAGGACAGAGAGTGGATGGCAGCCAGCACCCCACACAGGACCATCAGGAGCTCCATGATGGATGGGGCACCCGGGCCCTCGAGCTGCTAGCCAGAGGCAGGACATGAACTAGGGTTTAATGACCACAGAAATGGTCTCTGTTCCACAAGCACTAAAGGACGGCGGCGGTGGCGGTGGTGGTGGTGGTGGTGGTGGTGGTGGTGGTGGTGGTGGTGGCGGTGGTGATCCCAGGATCTGGGAGAAGGGATGCTGGGCAGGGCTGGGCCACTCAACCCTCTCTCCTTCCATGCAGACCGAGCCCCCGTGTCCTCCCCAGCCAGCCCTCCCCAGCCATGGCGGCCTATGGGCAGACTCAGTACAGCGCCAGCATCCAGCAGGCCCCACCCTACGCAGCCTACCCACCTCCTGTACAAGCCTACGGGATCCCTTCTTACAGTGAGTACCCGCCAAACCCTGGCTCGGTCGCCATCCTTTCCCATCAGCAGTCCCAAGAGAAAGAGGTCATCTTTCCCAGTACGTCCACCCTGGGTCATATGACAATGTTCAGAGCAAGACCATCAGGAGAGAGCCATGGGGCTGAAACCTGTGGTTATGGATGGGGTCATCTCTCAAAGGAGAGAACCCACACTAATCACCGTGGGGAAACTAGGGAGTTTCTTGCCTACATAGCTGGGTATTGGCTTTAGGCAGGGTTGGATCTAGGCACTCAAGCAACACACACACCATACACACGTAGCCCTAACACCTCCAGGTCCCCCAGAACAGGTCCCCCACAGCATATCAAACTGTACTTCTCCTGGCCTCAGTGCCCCCCCCACCACCACTGGAAAAATCACTTACTCATCTCTTCTTTCCAGTTGTCTGGAGTTGCTCGAGTGCAGAAACTGAATGTTGTTTTTTCTTCCCTTCTTCCTCTGTACTCTGCTTTAGTCATTGGTTCATTTACAATTCACCCATTCATTCACAATTCATTCCTTCATTCACAATGTACCCACTCATTCACAATTTACCCATTCATTCACAACTCACCTGTTCATTCAGCACTGGGTGACACAAATGCACACAGCACTCAGAGAGGCAGAGCAGGCCACCCTCCTGCTGTTTCTAGTCCAGAATGGAGGCTGGAAGGAGTCCTGAATGGAAGGATGATGGGTGACGTGGCCTTGGTGCTTCTTTAGCTTCATAAATATATCTTGTATTTTTAAAATTGCTTCCCAGTTTGGGCATGGCAAATGTTCACATGTTAGTTCACAACATCCATGTTTGTTTGTTTGTTTGTTGTTTTGTCAGTCTTGGGGCTTGAACTCTGGGCTTGGGCGCTGTCCCTCAGCTCTTCAGCTCAAGGCAAGTGCTCTACCACTTGAGTCACAGCACCACTTCCAGTTTTCTGGTGTTTAATTGGAGATAAGAGTCTCACAGATTTTCCTGTCTGGGCTGGCTTTGAACCACAATCCTCAGATCTCAGCCTCCTGAGTAGCTAGGATTACAGGCGTGAGCCGTGGGTACCCAGCTAATCTCCATGTTTTTAAATAAGTAGATGAGCAGGGAGCAAAGAACCCAAACTCAGAATCAACAGTAGCCCAGGGCAGAGCTGTTCAGTTCAACACCAGCTTCTGTTTGCCCCAGGAAGACAGGAGTTTGCAAACCCTCACACACAAAAAATGTAGATATACATTTCTCTTTCTCTCTCTCTTTCTCTTGCTCTCTTTCTATATATATACACACATACAATAGATATGTGCAGTTCTATGTATACATACATATGTATGTGTGTGTATATATAGAGAGAGTTGGGAGAAGAGAGTTTTGTTTTGTAACAGTACTGGGGCTTGAACCCAATGACTGGGCACTGTCCCTTAGCTTTATTTACTCAAAACTGGTTCTCTACCACTGGAGCCACACCTCCACTTCTGACTTTTTTTCCTCCTTTCTTTTCTTTCTTTCTCTTTTTTTTCCCTCTCCTCCTCCCTCCCCCTTTCTTTTCTTCATGGTTAACTGGGAATAAGAGTCTCCCGAACTTTTCTGCTCAGGTTGGTTTGAAATGTGATTCTCAGATCTCAGTTTCCTGAGTAGCTAAGATTACAGGCATGAGCCACCAGTACCTGTCAAGTAAATAAATGTTTAAAGTGTTTTCAGCCCCAGACCCTGATGTATATATAAGAGAAGGCTAAAGATCCCAACAATAGCAGAAAAGTTTTATTTCCAAATCCAGGGCCAGGATCTGGCCTTTAAATGAGCAGCTTAGACCCGGGGGTGATGCTCAGGGTTAGAACACTTGCCCAGCATGCTCAAGGCCCTGGCTTCCAACAAAATAAAATAATAGCCGCTAACTGACCTGGGACCAAGAGTGGAGAGGTGACAGACAGCTGGCACAGGAGGGGGACACCCAGGCAGAGGGCAGGAACGGGGCAGATCCGAAGAGATCAGTGGCTGGGGCATGAGGGAGATTAGGAAGCCGTGGGGAAGGTGTGGGATTCGTTCCAGGTGAGGTGGGAGCCATTGACGGCTTGTGGGCAGCTGCCATGTGCTGGTTTAGGTTTTCAGAGGTGTCTGGCACTTCTGCAGGGAGGAGGTGCTGCAGGGGAGCAGGAGTGAAGGGAGGAATGGAGCAGGGCGGGTGGAGGGCAGGGCAGTGATTGGCCAGAAGCAGGAAGGAGCCAAGGGCGACTCCATCGGGAAGATGAACAGACATGGGTCACCTGATTGACTTTCTGTCCCTCTGCCTCTTGTCCTCTAATGACTCTAATCCCACAGTTACCCTCCTCGAAGCCCAGAGAGGGTAAACACCTCCCCCCCAGGTCACCCAGCTGGGGAGAGGAAGCAATGGAATTTCACCCCAGCGTCTGAGCCCCCAATGTTGCTCCCCACTGCAGGGACAAGCGCCCCATAAATCCTGGGGGATTACCCATGACAGACCTGGGCTAACAGCTGTGAGTGCACTGCTGACTGTGCCCCTCCTGGTACTCAGAGGAGCCCTTCCCCCACCTGGCCTAGAGCCAAGCACAATGCAGCCGGATTATTTTTCACATAAAAGCAGAAATTAGCCCTGTTCCCAGACAGAGCAAGGCATCAGATGGAAGTTCATTTGGCACAGAGTCATTTTTAGGGTGTGGGTGACTTTAGAAGCATCTGATCCCAGATTAGCGTGCACAGCCTGGAGTTCCAATCCCACCCCCGTCCAGTGCTGGCCCTGAGACCCTGGGCTTCAACTTGCTCTTTCATACAATGGAAGTAATACTAACTCTGACGCCCCACGGGGGTCATGAAGACTAAATGAAATCATTGCTGTCAAAAGTAAAGGGGCTGATAATAAATACTCCCCACTTGGCAGGCCATTATTGTCTCTTCCTACTTCATAGGCCTGGTAATATGAAAGCAACCAGACAATGTCTGTGCATCCATGTTTCAATAAAACTTTATTTGTACAAAGCAAGCAAGGGGCCAGGATTTGGCCCCTGGACTCCCACCTAGATGAAGAGCTCTCAGGGCCCAGCCCATAGGAAATTCTCAGAGTATCGGATTGACTTGACGAAGCCAGGCTACCACACCTAGAATGTCTAGGTCAATGTCCAGATGAACTGACTACCCAATTTACAAAAGAATGTAAAGGCTTTGCTTTCTTCTCTGAGATACCCATAGATCCCCACCGATAAGCTTGCCCTGCCATGGAAGTTGGTCATCCCCTGCATTGTGTGTGTGTACGTGTGTATGTGTGTACGTGCACGTATGTATGCCACAGTATTGGGGTTTGAACTCAGAACCTGGGCGCTGTCCCTGAGGTTATTTTTGCTTAAGGCTAACTAGCACTCTACTACTTAAGCCACAGCTCCACTTCTGGCATTTTGGTGATTTATTGAAGAAAAGAATCTTTTCTCCCCAGGCTGGCTTTGAACCACAATCCTCAGATCTCAGCCTCCTGAGTAGCTAGGATTATAGGCATGAGCCATGGCCACCTGTCTTATTTCTTTCCCTGAATCAGGATCCACAAACTCTTTTTTTTTTGTACAGAATTGGGTGGGGAATGTTTCTCTTTGCACCGTACATGGAGCCCCCAAACTTCAGTTGTATTTGGAAGATTGTGTTAGTGTCTGCAGCAGAGCACTGAGCCTGGGGTGAACATGTCACATCTCCTGTCACCCAGAGTGCATTGTGTGGCCCGGCCCTACCCTGTGTTTTTCTGCTTTTTGCTGTGTCTTCTCTCTCCAGAATGCCAGCCTGTGGTGTCTGCAGCTGCAACTCCATCTCTGAGCTGGGCATGGTGGTGCATGCCAATAATCCCAGCATTCTGGGTTGAGGCAAGAGTAGTCAGCTCAAGAGAAGTCTAAGCTACATAATGAGACTTTCTCTAAAATAAATAAGGAAGCCTGGTGCTGGTGGCTCACACCTGTAATCCTAACTACTCGGGAGGCTGAGATCTGAGGATTGTGGTGTGAAGACAACCCAGAGCAGGAAAGTTCGTGAGACTCTTATCTCCAGTTAACCACCAGAAAAGATGGAAATGGAGTTATGGCTCAAGTAGTAGAGTGCTGGCCTTGAGCACAAAAGCTCAGGGACAGTGCCCAGGCCCCAAGTTCAGGACTGGCATGAAAAAGAAAAGAAAAAAAAGGAAAAGAAAAGGAGGGAAGAGGGTGGGAAGTGAAGAAAAAAAAAGCAATCTGTATCCTCATGTTTCAGGCACTGAGTTGAGGTGGCCATCGGCAGGAGGGAAGGAAGCGGGAGTGAGTGAGTGAGTGAGTGAATGAGTGAATGCCCTTGCAGAATGCACCCAGTGGATGTGGGGCAGCTGCAGGTGGCCCTGGCAGTGGGGAGTTCATGGTCGTCCCCCTGAGGCCCAGAGCATCCCTGAGCCCCGCTGACCCCTCGGCCTCCGTGTTTCTCCTGGGCTGTAAAAGACCAGCATTTGCTTTTTTGACTTTCTATCTATCATGGGCTGACACCTTAGGAAAATCAAGTCAATGGATTGGATGAAAGGGTTTCTGTGGCTTTGAACTCAGGGGCCTGGCCACTGTCCCTGTGCTTCTTTTATTTAAGGCTAGCACTCAACCACTTGAGCCACAGCACCACTTCTGGCTTTTTCTGTTTATGCGGTACTGAGGAATCGAATCCTGGGCTTCATGCATGCTAGGCAAGCACTCTACCACTGAGCCACCTTCCCAGCCCCTGGATGAAAGTTCTAAAGACATCCAAAATACATGTGTCGAGCTGGGCCTTCCGCACCTGTGTCAGCCAGCCGTGACTCCTGGTGGTCAGCTGGGTGCTCTGGGTGTTTGCCGTGCAGCACCACGGCCCTTTCTCCTGGTAAACTCTACCTGGCCCTCGAGTCACGGTCACTGCTGACTCGGGACAAAGCCCTTTGTGTCCTCCTCTCTCCTCTTCCATGGGTGGAACTTTTAGGATGCAACTTCTCACCCCGCAAAAGGAGAGGCAAGATGTTCAGCTCCCCTCCCCTCTTCCCTCACCAGCTGGGTACCCATGGCACCCCTGCATGCAGACTGTGGGCTGTGTGGGGGTACAGATGCTGCACTAGGAGATGCAGCCCCTCCATCCTAGCTTATCTTATAAACTAGGATCTCACTACTTTTTTTCTCCTTGAACCACAGTCTTCCCATCTCGGCCTCCTGCATAGCTGGGATTACAGGCATGAATCATCATGCCCAGCCCCAGCTGTACCCTTTGATGAAGCAATTTTATTGCTCATGACAAAATAAGACAAACCCTGGCATCTCACGTGAGATACACCCTTGGGTTGTGATATACCAAGTATGAGGCGCTCTTGGCCCATCCTACCCTCCCTCACTTTTCACAGTGTCCTGGAATGTTAAATAAATGAATGAATGAATGAGGAATAGAACAAAATTGTAAGTTTAAATGTTTTTCAAGTACAGTTGCAATGAAGATGGGACTCATTACTGGTGATGTCACACAAGCCAGCCGGGCGCCAGTGGCTCCAGTCTGAGGAGGCTGATATCTGAGGATTGTGATCCAAAGTCAGTCTGGAAAGACCAATCTATGAAATTCTTGTCTCTAATTAACCAGCCAAAAGCCAAAACTGGAGGAGTGGCTGGAGTGGTAGAGTTCATCTTGATGGAAAAAGCCAAGCAAGAGCTCAACACCCTGAGTTCAAGCTCCAGTACTGGCACATGCACGCGCACGCACACAAGCAAAAAGCAGGGCTGGTGGTGTGGTTCAGATGGTGGAGCACCCATTGAAAAATCTATTCCAATTCTAGTACCACCAAAGATAGGTAGACAGACAGACAGATACATATATACATACTCACTTATATACATACTCACTTACATACACACACATCACAGGCCAAGCAAAATGTGGCTGCAGGGTAACCTTGGGTCTCTGGTTACGCTGGTTTGACGGCTGATGATGTGTGCTCCATACGCTCAGCATCTCTTCTGCAGGTTCAAGGAAAAATCCCAGCGTGTGTCCTCTATGCCTCTTTTTCCTCCCTCCCAGGCATCAAGACAGAAGACAGCTTGAACCATTCCCCTAGCCAGGGCAGCTTCCTCAGCTACGGCTCGAGCTTCAGCACCACGCCTGCCGGACAGGGCCCATACGCCTACCAGATGCACGGTCAGTGTGGACGGCCCCCTGCCTGCCTTCCCTGAGCCCCCACACACACCCCAGGGTGGAAGCCTGCTCACTCCTCCACCCAGTCACTGCTCGGCAGGTTTCCTGAACGTGGACTGTGTGCCGGCTCTGTCTCCCGCTGTGGAGCAGCAGCAGATGCACTGATTCCAGACTTCAGACGGGGTAGTCAGAGGATTTGCTCCGTGGCAGGAGGAGGGGTTTCCATTCTACTAGAGTAGTGGCAGTGAGTCTTGGAAGTGGAGGCTGGCTCCTGTGGGCAATTCATTAGCCTTGAGTGGAAAAAGCCAAGCAGGAGTGGGAGGTGCTAAGTTCAAGCCCCAGTACTGGCGGAACAAAAGGAAGAAAAAGCTAGCCTTGTTTCTCATGGGAGGGTCTTAACCCCCAGGTCGGCACAAAGCGGTACCCCAGACCCTGCCATCTCCCATGTTTCCCTGCTGGTAGCTTTCCTGAGTGCTGGAGGGTAAAAGCTGACTCGTCTTTAAGCAAGGAGTGTCTGTACCAGTCCTGGTAGTAAAGCATTGTGAGGACTTTGGACTTGACCTTGCATTTGAGCTTGCACCTGAACTCCCTGCTTCTGAGAGGCCTCCCCTCCCCCACTGCACCAGGGACATGATTTGTGCAGCCAGTTTACCATGCACCCATTCATTCATTCGTTTGCTATTTTATGTTACTTACTGAGTGCCAGCTGTTTTAGGCACTGGGACCCAGAAGCCACCAATCAGACTTTCCAAAAAGCATGTGAGTGGCACAATCAAGGTGTCAGCCTGGGCATGACCAGGGGAGGGGTGAGGATTGACAGTAATCTCATGGCCATGTGGGAGGCTGGGGACTGGCACTCCAGGCAAGAACAGCAAGTACAAAGGCCCTGAGGCAGGATCAGTCTCCCCTAGTTAAAGCACCGCAGAGGAGAGGTGGGAAACTTAGAATTCAGGGGATGAGGGAGACCTTTGGGAGCACTGGAGGGGGTTTAAGAAAATCAAGAACTGTGGCCATGGGCCAAGTGGTAGAGTGTCTGCTTACCAAGGGCAAGGCCTGGAGTTTAAACCCCAGGACCACCAGAAAAAGAAAATCAGTTCTAGAGGGAGTTTATTAATGGGGGTCTCAGCTATACATCTCCCAGGCCAGTTTGTGTTGAATTTATGATGTAAACTGTGTCAGATTTATGAAATGTAGTACCATCTCTGGAACCGGTAAGCTGTGTGTCGTTGGACAAGTCACTGAACACTCCTGGCATGTGTTCTTCAGCTGTAGGGGTAACGTATGCTCCATGAGGAAAATGAGGGGTTGGGGAAGATCACGGTCAAATCAGGGGTTGAGTGATGGGCGCGTGCTGTGGAGGGAAGCGAAGTCCTCCTGGATTCTTTGCAGATTACTTTGACGCTTCAAGATGGTAGTTTCTGAGAGACCGTCCCTCTACCCTATACATACCAAGGAGCCTGGATGTAATGTTTAGTTCCTTTCAGTGTTAAAGTGTTAGAAATCTTTGAATCCTTACTTGTTTTCACAGTAGAACTCTTTTCCTTACTGTTTTTTCCTGTTCAAATTTCCTTTCTCCCCTCCCTCCCTTCCTTTCTCCCTTCCTTTCTCCCTCCCTTTCTCCCTTCCTTTCTCCCTTACTTTCTCCCTCCCTCCCTCCCTCCCTTCCTCCCTCCCTCCCCCCTTCCTTCCTTCCTTCCTCCTCCTTCCTTTCTCTTTCATGCCAGTACTGGGGCTTGAATTCAGGACCTTTCACTCTCACTTGGCTTTTTCACTCAAGACTGGTGTGCTCTACCACTTGAGCCACACACAGTTCCACTTCCAACTTTTTGCTGGTTAATTGGAATTAAGTCTTGGAGATTTTTCTGCCTGACCTGGCATCAAACCTCGATCCTCAGATCTCAGCCTCCTGAGACTTACAGGTGTGTATCACTGGTAATTTATTTTTACTGACATAGTTGACCAGCTATGAGCTTCACTCTTTTAAAGTGCTCAGTTCCATCATTTAGAATATATTCACCACCACCACTAATTTTCTGGGGTTCCTGTTACCTCAAAAGGAAGCGCTATGCCCACTGTCCATCACCTTCCTGTTTCCCCTCTTCCCATACATGTCACTGCTAATAACACTCATTAAGCCTTACTCCTCTTTCACATTAATTTTGCAAGCCGGTGAAACCCCCAAACATCTATAGAAATCTTTCTCCTGCTGCTCTGGCTGCAGGCCTGCACCCACCCCCCTTCCCCAGTCCCCGAGCCCGAGCAATTAACCACTAGGCATAGTTCCTGTGAACCCATGCGGAACTTCTTTTTGCAAATGTAAATGGATTATCATCAGTCTGTCATTTCACCTGTTACCATGACAACAGCCAGTTCACCCATGAGTCATCCATGAGGAGATGGCCCTGGGCTGAGATCCCCAGTTAGTTGGTTTCCTTTGCTTTAGCGTGGGTTTTATCTCCATGTTGTACTCCAGTGCTATTTCCTTCCTAGAACTCTGGGTTCCGTGAGTTTCTTAGATCTGTGGATCTATAGCTTTCAACAGATTTGTTTCTTCAAATATGTTTCCTGCTGTTCCTCCCCAGGAACCTCTTGTCTTTACCCTGACTTACTTTCTTTCTTTTTTGAGGAAGAGGGAGGGGACCAGTACTGGAACTTGAACTCAGGACTTGCTGCATACTATCCCTGAGCTTTTTTGCTCAAGACTAGCACTCTGTCACTTGAACCACAGCTTTGTTTTGTGGGATTTTCTTTTTTTGGTAGTTAGAGATAAAGAGTCTCATGGATTTTGCTGGGCACCAGTGGCTCACATCTGTAATCCTAGCTACTCAGGAGGCTCAGATCTGACGATCATAGTTCAAAGCCAGCCCAGGCAGAAAAGTCTGTGAGACTCTTATCTCCAATAAACTACTCAGAAAACTGGAAGTGGCGCTGTGGCTCAAGTGATAGAGCGCTTGCCTTGAGCTGAGGGACAGTGCCCAAGCCCAGAGTTCAAGCCCCACAACCAACAAAAAATAAAACACACACACAAAAAAACAAAAACAAAGAATCTTATGGATTTTCCTACCTGCGCTGTATTTGAACATCCGTGAGGTGTGACCCACTTCACCTGTGGTGTCTGTGCCTGGACAGGTGGAGCCATTTCACTGTGTCATCCTGGCCCAGGCCAAGCCGGCCTGGGGCTGCTGGCCCGGAGGGAGCTTCCTGTGGGCTGAAGCTCCTGACACTGTTCACCCCCCCCCCACGCCTGCCCCACCCGGGGTCACCTTGCTGTGTGCTTGCAGCTGCTGCCTGGGCTCAAACTTCCTCCTGAGGGTCACCAGAAGGTCACAGGGATGATCTCCTCTGGTTATGTAATAGTCTCCTAAAGCCACAGGGAGTGACAGCATGAAGGAGCCCGAGAGTCAGCTGGGGGTCATGTGGGGTTCAGCTTGCCACCACTAAGCGGTTCCGTGGGGTAGAACTCGCCGCAGTGATGGTGAAGCTGTGCGCCTGCGCCGTGGGTCTGCGCAGATCTGCACCATGCGCCTGTGCGCGGGGGGGGGGGGGGGGCGTGGCCTGCGCCATGGGGTCTGCACCTGCGCCATGAGTCCGCACCCTGCGCCTGCGCAGTGGGGCCTGCATCGTTGGTCTGAGCCTGCACCTGTGCTGTGTACTAGCGGCGTCTGAAATGAGGCCAGACAAGGAACTGAATTCGTTCTTTTGTTGGGCTTTAATCATTTCCCCTATAAATGTGGTTAGAGGCTTGACAGCTCTATGACAATCCAAAAGCCAGCTGTTAACAGGGTTAAGGCTGGGCAGGGAAGAGAGGGCATTAACCTCTGACCCACACTCGCCCAAACTCCAAGGCTGACGTCCCTCAGGCTGTGGTATCTGGAGCCCGGGGCGGGTAACTAGGGTTTGTGGGGGGCCTCAGGACAGCAGGGGGTCCTTCCTTCTGAGAAGAGGGATGTCGCTTTCCCCCCTCTAACCCACCACTCCTACTGACCATGGAAAGATCGCATGAGGGCAACAAGGAGGCCATGTGCAAGCAGGAGGAGGGCCGGGGCAGAGGCCTGACCTCGGCCTCCCAGCCTCCAGTCTGTGGACCTCCAGTGTCACCTGACCTTGGCCTCCCATTGTCAGTTGTGCTGGACAGCAGCCTGGTTGATGAAGACTAGGTTTTCTTTCTTCTTCTGGGTCTGGGCCTGGGCTCTGTCCCTCAGCTCTTCAGCTTAAGGCCAGTGCTCTACCACGTGAGCCACAGCGCCACTTGCGGTTTTCTGGTAGTTAATTGGAGATAGAGTCTCACGGACTTTCCTTCCTGGACTTGCTTTGAACTGTGATCCTCAGATCTCAGCCTCCTGAGTAGCTAGGATTACAGGCATGAGCCACCAGCACCTGGCAAGGCTAGGTTTTCTTAGCAAAAGTGGAGGTGGAGAGCTAAGCCCCTGGGGTGTGTGTCTCAGCTCCTGGGGTGACTTCACACACACCTATTTTTTACCCCACCGTTGAAGGACTCCTCCAGATAAAATGACAGCATGGCTGCTGGAGAAACTGTCCCTTGGGGTCTTTGTGCTGTATGGAGAGCAGGTGGGGACAAGAGTCATATGAACACATGGCCCCACCTGAGAGAGTAGCTACCGCAGACTAGGTGCCAAGAACAGATGTAACCCAGGGCACAGGTGGCCTATGAGAGGTCACAGCCTAGGATGGGTAGTACATGCCTTTAATCCCAGTACTCAGGAGGTTAAGGCATGAGCATGGAAGTTCAAGGCCAGCCTTGGCTACTAACAAAACCCTATCTCAAATATAGATAGGTAGATAGATGATAGATAAAATAGATATAGAGGACAGACAACAGATATAGATGATGAATGGATAACAGATAGATAATAGATGGATATAAATGATAGGTGATAGATAAATAATATAGATGACAAAGTGAAAGTGTTGTTCTGAGAACACATTACAGTAGCATTCTTGCAAAATCACTGCTTGTTAAAACCCTGAACAAACTTCTTCCT